TCCCTTTCTCAGCGAGGTCATCAGCAAAGAAGAAACATGGAGCTCGGAGGCTCGGTCCTCGGTTCCTCTTGGTGCTTTAGATGCAGGAACGACCTCTTTTTCAGTCTCTGGAGAACGATTTTCACACCCATTGACCTGGCTCCACCATCACCTGTTCTCCATCGACTGGAAGGAACCTGTGTTGGGTTTGAAGTTTTCTTGCCCAGCAGACTCTGGAAAGTAAACCTGGCATACTTTTCATTTGTTGGTCAAAAGTGCGAGGGGCAGGATCCACAAAAATACGCGTTTGCTCAAGTTGTTGTAATTGTTTGTCACATTGTGCTGTTTTGTTATTGTTGTGTTGTTGTTTTCTCGTTCTTTTTTGTGCTTTTTGTGCCTGTTTCAGCATCATGTTTGACTAACGGCAGCTAGCGACAAAATGAAATTGACATTATTTATTGATAAAACCACAAACAAGATGACTTCCCCCAACGAATGACAAAGAGCATCCCGAACATGACAAAGCCACATGACAAAATTAAAACATGCCCCAAAACATTGACTTTGTGACATCCCTCAGAACCTGCTACAAAGAAACTCACTGACTGTCATACAGTAAGTTTTGGGAGGCATACCAGCGTCCGAAAGAAATACGTATGTTGCCCCCACGAGGACAGGGGGTTGACCAGAAACCATGAGGTAAGTCACAAGTAATTCAATCAATATCAAGCAGTTGAAGCATCCTGGACAACTCTTAAAAAGGAGTTGCATCCTGTATATTTGTGAACTTGCAGCTGAGGAAGTGACCGAGTGACCCATGTATGCAAGTGTAAGCAGTGGGTGAGTGACACACCGGGAAGGTAAATACGTTAAACAATAAGAACACTGAGATGATGCTCAAAACTCTGGACATGTGGAAATCACCACCAGGGCACCACAACAGGAGGATGAGGATGTTTTGTAATTTTTTGACCATGAAGGCACCGCAGTATTAAAGTATGGTACGTAGGTCTTCGATGGGGGCTTAATTGAATGCTAAAGGCTATGTACAGTACTAAAGGACTTTCTTCTCATCCTGGCTTCGGCACCTTAAAAGAATCAAGTTCTGAAAACGGCAGCCTCCCCCCCAGTTGAAAGCCTATCCAACAGAAAAACATCATCTTCTTGCAATCTTTCATCTGCCATACAGTTTTGGTTTCTTTTGGTTGTTATTTTGTTTTCACCCAAAGCCTACCAGGACCCCCATGTCCACCGGATTTAGGATGTCGAGTCGCTGAGGTCTGCAAATAGACTTTGCTACGTCCATTGAGGTCCAACTGCACCTTCACCACTTTCCAGATGTGGAGCAGCAAAGGGAACAACACATACAAAAGGCCGATGACCTGGCAGTCTTCAGAAAGAAAGCGGAAAGAAGGTGGGCATCCTAGTGGATTTTGTCTCCCACACATGTTCCACTGTTTCTTCTTGGCCCAGCCGGCAAGCACCAAAAATTGCTGTTATATATATATATAGGGCGAGAGAGAGCTCCTAACTGTCCTAACTCACCGTCAGTGCTTTCCTCCAGTTGGACGCAAACCAATGGGTTGGGAGATTGCCTGCGCGCAACCACCCCCGCCGAGCCCACGGAGCCTGCGCCGTCTTCGCGGGGTCGTCCGGGATGAGGAGTTCCGAGGCACTGCTCTCATCGTGACCAAAGACCACGTTGACCATGTAAACGGAGGCTTTAAGGGTGAACCAAACATATGCATTTTTCAGCGAATCAAACATGACAGTGATGACAAACCTCCACGTGTTTCCGGGTTGCTCCAGGATATGCTTCACAAATTCAATGAAGAGCCCAGTTTGAGGGACCTCTTCCTCAACATCGCGAGCAATGCCTTCTGCGTAGTAGCTCGAAGGAAAGGAGTCTTGATCAATGACCTTGACTCGACATATCTTCAAGTACCTGCCCAGCTGGCAGCCCATAGGGCTTTCCAAAACCACCTTAAACTCCAAGGTGGCGCTCCACAAGGGCGACTCCAATATGGGAATCTCGATTCTTTGCTCGTAGACTCCACTGGGAAACACCAAGACACCCTCCACGTGCTCGTAGCGGACGCCGGCCTTACCTCAGCGTGATTTGGAGGCGAAGGCAGGAGAGAGAAACATTTAGTGATCATAGTCATAGTTGTGTCCAGTTTGGCAAACAAATCAAACAAGCATCACAGGTCAAGTCTACTCTTTTTGGTTACAAACTAGGCAAATCCCAACAACTAGACTTCACAAACCATGCTAGACCTCCAGGTGTTTCGCGTACAAATTGCTCGCCGCACCCCCAAAAAAACAGCTTGTACTTGTTTCGATCCTTTTTCGTAGAGGTGCCTGACCCTTCTTCCGTGCGATATTGACACCTCACTTCTCCTTCCAGCTTTCCCAAGCGCATGACGCTCACCGAGAAGGCTTCACCTTCCGCCTTGGATGGACCATTTGCTTGGAGCACGGTCCAAACCGCACAGGTTTCCATGGGACATCCCACAGGTCACCGAGACCGGTCGGGCCAGCAGTTTTCTCAGACTGGTGTCGGATGCTGGTTGGGTCCTTTGCCCTCCATCCTGGCGGGCTACATGTTAGCAATTAAGGGGGAAGCGTTTGCAACATAACGTCAGTAGTGGGAAGCACTGACCAAATGACCAATGGCTGTGACTCTAGACTCCAACCTCTCAACCCACAAGGGCAAAAGTAGATGGGGCCAAAGTACTTGTACCAGTGAAAACCGCTACGGTACATCGGAAACAAAGCAGCACCATGCATGTTCACCTGGCACCCTCCCATGTTTCACACCTCATCACTATCATCATCCCCAGGCCACCGCCACGAAAATCGCTGAGGCAAACTGGACAATGTCTAGCTTGTCGTGGTTGGGCGGCGGTGGCCCCAATGAGAAGCTTTCATCATTCAACGGCCTCGCTGAACGCGTCACCAGCACAGTTCAAGGTTTTTAGCACGGACCCGGGCAAGATTGGAGCTCTAAAGAATGTGACCAGCTGGATGAGTCTTGGTCAATCGGAAAATGCCATATATAATAACTTAATCTAATTCAACAATACCATATGTTCCAATTACAATGCATGCCATATTTGTGTATTCCTCTAGTGCAAACTAGATCCACATCACCAAAGAATCACTTTCACTGAAGAAATATGTCTCCAACCTTGACCGGTCAAGGAATTAATCTTCAGTTTTAGCTCAAAAACGGACAGCTGGCAAGATTTGTGTGTGTATGCCAGCAAAAAAGATGTACTATGATGTACTAATCCATCCAGTCGGGCTTTGCAACATCTGCATTTCATGGTCCAGCTTGGCTGTGGAGAGAGGAGTCCCCTCTACTTTCTCAATTCTACACCGGTAAATCTATTGCGCTCAGAGTAGTTATGGCAGCGATCCAACACAAATGATGTGCGCCTTTTGTCCAATCCGGCAGCACTTGTGAAAATCAAAGCTTCCACTTCATGGTCAGAGTAACAAGATCAGCAAATACCCTCTTGCTCTACAACTCCGCCACAACTGAATAGAATTAGAACGGGGAACCCTTAGAGAATGACATATATATAATTCATATTGTAGTTTTGGTTGAGGAGCCCGAGTGTGCAAGGGTGCTGTCCATCAAATATCCTGCTGTGAGCACAAAAGCTGCCGAGAGACGAATATAAGTAGCCTGAATTTGGCAGCAACGAGGCAAGGACACACTGTCACACAGGTCTGGTAGCTCCCAAACAGTTTGAAGTGGTGAAGCTGAAGCCTGAAGCTCCATCGAAACTTATTGTAAATCACATTAATTATATAGTCTTCCTCATATATGTGCAAAGCCTTCCTGAAAGAACTCCAATGCGAACATGGTCATACTGAGGCTGATTTTGTGGAGACCACTCTCTTTCACCCCGCTGGGAAGAGGCAAAGAAGGCTGGAATTCGATCCTCTGCGCTGACTGAACGCTTCTCAGCATGACTTAGACTTGGGCTGATTGAACTCTGGCCGAAGGAAACCCCGAATTCCAAACATGTCTGACTTCTTCCCATCTTCTTCAAACCATCTGTTGACAACCAAATTGCACAAGTTTATACAGTTATACTATATATATATCATGTATATATCATGTGTATATTATATATATATATTATAAGTTACAGTTTGAGCTTGAATCTGTGCAAATTGTTGTTCATCCCAAACATTGCCACAACACCCGCAATCCAATTTCCGGTACCTGCTGTTTGCTGCACCCAAGCAGTTTTCAAAAAAACACCCAAAGCAATTACCTGCCCAATCCATTAAACGTTGGAAGGTGTGTTTGGATGCAGTAGAGTCAAGACACCCTGCAGCCGGGATGGTAAACTCCAAGCCAGCTTGCAAGAAGTGCTCATGTTCCCACAAAAGCTTGCAAAAATGCACCATTCCGCGTCTCGGGGCTTGCTTTTCTTTCATGTCACGTCTAGGAGTCTTAGGACTTTGGACCCGTGTGGTTCTGACCCACCATTGCCCTGTCAGGTTCTGACAGTCCCCAGTCCAACTCCATCCAGGTGGCCATTCTTCAGTGGATCGACCCTCACCTCTCGGCTTCGCGTCGACGCCGCTTTCCCGCCGCAAAGCCCCATGGCGCTCGGCCCGCTCGGCCCGCTCGGCCCGCGCCGTCTTGGCGCTGGGCTCGCGCCGTCTGGAGCCCAAGATGAATGAAGACGTCCTGTAGCGGGAACCTCCGTATCAATGGAATGAATGATGGAATGCAGCTAGAGCGATGCCCAAACCGAGACCGCGATATCTGGAGAGATACCTCAGAAGTCCAGTCCTAGCCACCTCCTTATGTGTTGAGCTACAAGTCACTACCTGGTGGGTGGAGGGTTGTTGGAATTATTCTCGCTGATGATAGATGCATGGAATCATGGCATGGAAAGGTTTCATGGATCATAAGTTTAACAGAAATCCCGCATCAACACATGCTTAAATATGCTGTGAACATGCATTCCCGTTCACCTTCGCCCGGCGCTGGCCTCGTCGAGGACCGGCTGCTGGAGGTTTGGGTGCCGCGAGGCGTGCACGGCGCGGTCGCTGCGCCAGGGCTTGGTGCCGCAACTGGGCGAGCTGAAAGGGAGTGGAATATCATTCCTGGTATTAAAAAAATAATCCCTTATAGTAAATCCCAACATCCAGAATTTAAGTTCTTGTGTTAATTTATATGATAAATGTTGTGTCATTTTCTAACACGGATAGATACGCCAGGATTTTCCGTCTGACATGCTCTCATACACATCAAACATGTCCGCGACTATGCGCAAGTACTACCAGGGGCCCGCAGGTTTCCGGGTAGACCCCCTCAGAGTGGGGTATGACAGGAACATGCTACAAGAAGGACATGTCCTCTGAATTCCTATGAACTGTGTGTCATACCTTGGGGTAATCATAAAAGGGCCTGAAGCTTCAAAAACATGAGCGAAAGGGGCTATGTCGGTGTTGAGGTTTTTGTCGAGTCCCGTCGTGTCCTCTGGGATGTCTCTAAGACGCTCCGACGGTCCGTCTCTTCAGCACCTCCATGCGAAGTGCCGGATCCCACTCCGGGGGCACAGCTCGACTAACAGGTCGGCCAGCTCTAGCTTTGGCCATGGCCTCGCACTGCGAAGGGATGCCAAATCGTGCGGTTGCAATAGTGTTGCTTCGTTTTGGTTCCCTAAGCGCCCTAAGCCCTTGGGTGCTTGGGATATTGAATGATACAATTTAATTGTGTGATTGACTCGTGCTACCAATCCGGATGTATGGCTGATTTCTTGTGCCCTCATCTTGATCCCACCCATGCAGCCCACCCCACCCGGAGCTTCATCCTCGCGGCCTTAGCTTCACAGGCTTCGCGCCGCCGGTCCGCCAGCAAGCGCAGGGCCACGTCCACGTCGGCCGCCAGGGAGGAGGGCGGCTGTGAGTCAAGGTCCGCACGGACATCCTGGGAGAGATGGGAGTTTCTCCCAGAATGGGCACCCAAATTTCACATGGGCCATTAAGTAGGTGTGTGCGTTCAGTGGGTCTGGTTCATGTTGAAATTGAAGGCCTACAAACTGAATGTTGGGCAGCCGAATATGGCATGAAAACGATAAACTTAATAGAACTGCCTGTTCAGGGCATGGGGTTGGCATGGGGCATGACGCAAAAAAAAGGCTGGAATGACACAATGACGCTAAACAACGCTGGCACTTCCATCCACATGGACTTAAGCCAGTTCCACTTGCCCCAAACAGTTGTCTCATGCCATTGTTTGACATGCTTGGAAACGCACAGACTCTTTGCCCCGTTGTGTTCAGCAAAGGAACTCTGAGGCGACCCTCCACCGTCCGGCAGGCACGCCACGTGGCCTCGCGCTTCGCCACGTCTCCCTTGGCGAGGTGCCACAGATTTGAAGCAAGGAAAAGGTGATGAAGGGGAAGGTCTGGGGACTAGGGTTTGACAACCCTTTTTCGGTTTCCTGGGCTCTGGTGGGGAAGAAAGGGCTTGTACAGGTGTTGGCATTAACATTCAATACCGAGTGCAGTACCTAGTTTAAAACCCCCAAAGAAGTCACCGCCACGGGCACCCCTTCTCACAGTGTCCCTTTGGTTTTTACACTTTACCGCCCTTTAACTTCAATAAGGTCATTTCTTGGGAGTCGCTTCTTTTGGTTCCACTTGGAATCAACACCCACGTATCGAATCACCACCAGTCGTGCAGCGCTGAGAGGGACGGAGCGCTGCCACAGGGCGTACGTACTTTTCACCAAGGCGTCGCCAAACAGCAGTGACATCGAAGAATACTGAAGAATCTTACAGGAATATATGATGTTAAAGGGTTTTGTCAACGGCGAAGGAAGACCCCAAGCGGCCCTGTTGGCGATGTTTTGCTTTTGAAGCTCTTCTCAGGTTCCCATCTTTTTGGGGATCACCCAATTTGGGGGGAGCCCCAAAGAAACTCGAGCGAATTTCTATATTATATAAACCGGGGGATGGGTGATGAGGGTAATGGATGGAAGGGGATATGCCGATGCTCTTTTGCTTCACACTAAGTATAAGGACATTTAATGGACTAGGTCCTACAGGGGATTGCCTGTAGGCACTCAATTCTGCCGAAGGACCATATCTTCAAGCGGGGCTTTGGGATTCCACCCCAATTTTGGGATCGATATCATTGCATGTGTCTTCAAGAGTGGGACAACTGTGACACCTGGGTCTTGCACCAATATATCTACCCTGCTAAAGCATGTCTCGGTGAGGTTTAGGGATGGAGCAAAGCACAAACGTAGCACAAATGTCACATGCAGCATGACCCAGGTATGGCCCATATGGTTCTTAGCCCAATACTCGTGGCAACAACAAGTTGGCTTTTCTAGGATCACAACATGCACTACACAAAAGTACGCACCTGCGGCAGCTCCCAGGAACTACGAATGACAACACCCAAAATTACCATTAACAGTATAATATAACACAATACTTAATGACTTAATAAGATTGATTGATCTCATTTAGTTTCACGTTTCACTGGCAACTCGGCATTTGTTTCACAGATCTGGTCATCAACCGGTCCGAACCGATGGTCTTGCACCCCGATGGCCGTGTCTCCCGCCTCAGGCTGCAAGTCTTTCGGCGGCAAACGTGTCGTGTCACGGCTGGGACGAACTGCCGTCCAAATGGAGGGCCGAACGTGAGTTTCTTGGGCCTCCTCCTGCGGTGCGTTTGGAGCGAAGTCTGGTCTGGCAAGGTCTGGCAGCGTCTGGGTGTGTAGTCAGTGTAGTCATTGGACTCATACTGACCGGGTGGTTCATGGAGGGAGTCTTGGCTTGGAGCTGCAGGCATGGGCAGGACAGGAGGTTGGAAGTTATGAAGGCTCAGATGCCAAACAACTCTAGGATCTGACATCGGAGGAACTCTTCTGGATCAATCCGCTCCAAGTCCACTGGGTCCTTCCAGAAACAACTCCAAGCATCACAGGCTCCAACACCCATCCTCGACCGTCCAAGGAAAGGGGGCTGCCATGTACACCAACAAACGAGGTGCCATGGACACGGAATCCGTGCACTGACCCAAAGAAAAAGACTTGTGACCTCCAGTCGTTGGAAGATTGTTCGACCTGACAACGATTTGAATAGCCAAAATTAATGGAACAATCGTGCCTTCCAGTGGCATCCGCGCGTCTCAATTCGGGGCAAATTAGAGTTTCTGACACAGCCTTGTCATCGTTTTTCATCGTCTATATACAAACTTTTTCTTGAGCTCTCGTCGCAGTCTCCCCGCAGGCGCGGGATCAGAGTTCCTCATGCCGCAACCATGCTGCCAGCAAGGAGCGCGCCTCGTCTTGCACATCCATGGTGGCCTCAGCTTGACATCAGCCTCCGCCTTGGACCTCAACTTGGAACTTGACGCTAGATTGCTATAATCAAAACATGTATATATTATACAGTGTATTTCGATGTGTGCCTTTTCTAGATTGTATATGAATGTATGTTAATGCTGTTGATGGCCCTAATGGCATCTTACAAAACTCGTTTATGGCCACCTATGTCGGTGAAATCATCCGTGCAGTGAGCTTTTTCCATGGTGACTTTGAGGATGCTCGAGGGGCTTCACCGACCTATATACTTCACCATCTTCAGGCCCCCCAGTGCCCCCACCACTGTCTCCCTCAACCTAGGCTCCAAGGTGAAATCTGCTGGCGATTTGCATGTTTTTCTTCCTGTAGATTTCCCTGTCAAACGATTTCATGATACTTGGAGTTCATTCGGCGAGGGCATTTTGAACAACCTTAAGCAGGGAGCCTTGCTGAGCCTTGCTGCACCCCTCAACCTGCATCCCATCATGCCAATGAGCAGCAAAATCCACCAACAGCGGTGTCCGACCAGCAAAACAAAAGGTTTAGTGGTGCCTGCCTTCCAATTGGCTGCAGCAAAACAAGGTTGGTCAAGCTCTATATATACATTTAGTACTCATTTGACCTCTGCTTTTGATAGGGATAAACTATGTATTGGCTCCGAAGCAGGGGTCAACCAGGTTCTAGGTACATTTATCTACATCGAGGCTTTTGAAGGCCTTGGTCATTCAGGTGACTGAGATCTCTGCTCATTGCATTGATGGAACCCCCTCTGTTTGTAAAGAGGTGTCTTTCAAGGAGCCATGTCAGCCACGTCCATTTTTGTCTGGAAATAATAGTAGTTAAAATGCAACCGGTATGTTGGTAATAATTGGCAAAAGGCCAATTGACCAGCAGCAAATGACATATATATATATATATGAGACAATTGCCCTCTACAAAACCAGTTTCCTTCGCACCAATGGCCAGCTGCCAGCTGCCATTTCATGTAAAAAAGTGGGAGGATACACATTGGAGGATATTTCGGGATTGTTTCAACGAATGTCCTCCACTTAAGGATCGGTTCATTGACAGTTCTTCATGTTGAGCCCACTCTGCCACGCCACTCAATCTTCCCTGTAGCGCATGTCGCTCGGTCGCTCAGCCGCTGAGCTCTCTCTGATCATAGAAGTCAATCAAAGCTTGCATTATGCATATGTTGGCATATATGTATATATATAGTTATATATATATTTGTGTCATATGGTTTCATGATGTTTCATGGAAGTCGTGACTGACAAATGCTTTCATTGAAAATCCCTACTTATATATCTACTTTGTCAGGTCCCAAACTTTACATGCATCTTGGGTAGGGCCTTGTCTCTGCAACCCGAGCGTGTCTCAACCCAGCGCAGGAAGTGAAACTCAAGGTGGGCAAGCGCGGAGCGGGCAGGCGAGTCTGGATGCACATCTTCTGCCAAAAGACATCATCTTGCTCTTGTTGTTCTTTCGTTTTCCGACGTGCCGTGATCAACTCGACTTTGTGAGGATTGGGTCTTCCACAATGCCATGCTCTCTCCAGGATCTCGCAACAAGAATTGAAATGCATGAAGCTATCAAAGGCTACACTGCGAAGGAGCAAAACCTCTAGGAAACTGACATATTTATGCCCATATGTCACTCCAAGCAATTTAAACAAACAAGTAAAACATACTCAATACTGATTCGGAATGAACCCGCACCACAAGGATCCTAAGGATTTAGGGGACAACTTCCCAGAGCCCAACTATTCCCCCCACAGGTGCCCTCAGGCCTTGTGCCACGCCTCCACCGATGACAGCACCATAGCTGGTGCAAAAGCAAATGCCAAAGAAGGCAATGGCCGATGATCGATTCGACCTGACTCGATCGGTCGTGGCACTTTGCAACCGGAGGCAAGCAAGGCAGGCAAGTCCTGGAAGTGTTCAATATTCATATGAGCATCCCTAGAGCTACTGGTAAACAAAAAGGATGGGAACAACGGAGTTCTCGCTTTTGGGAGACCCGATTGAAGGAGGGCATTCTTTGCATTTCCAAAATGCTGCAGCCAAGTTCCAATATCTCATGCTGCTCTGGCTGCTCTTAACTAAATTGGTCACCAGGTTATGAGCGGATGCTTTATTAAGGTATGACCAGCCTGATGCCGATAGTCCGATAGTCCATGGACAGGTTCCAAGATATGACCATGAACGTGCTTGACTGATTTTGACTACAAAACTCCCTCATTCCTTCATTGAAAGGGCTCTGCATGGGAGATAAACGCCCCAAAAATCTGATTCACACAGTGACACCGACAATGTTTTGGAGCAGAGTTTGACCAAGACCGCTGGTCTTCAAGTGCCATCATCTTGTTCTACCTGCACTTGCTCAAGCACTTTCATCCTCCTGTCTTAATGACTATGCTTCCCCCATTGCGTCCACCTTTCAAAGTCTTTGCATATGCAGTCCTTACTTCTTTCCAAGGCTGTGTGGGAAATTTCCGGATGGACAATGATGGAGCGCTGGGCAAAGACCTACCTACCATATGCAACAACAGGATTCCAAGAGATATCAGCACAGCGCATTCTCGTTTGGACGCCCATGCCCTTTGCCTTGAATGCCCTTCACTTCGGTTGTAATTGCTGCTCAGTGACTCTGGGGGCATGTTGGCCTCGGCACTGGGAAGCATCAGAAACTTGAGCAGCTCCCACACAAACCCATGTCACCTTTGCAAGGCTTCCCTGACAGTGAATATGGCAAAAGCAAAGTCACAAATGTTTGGAGTGCCTGCCGGTCCTAGAAAAAAGTGGAACCCTTACCTTTGCCATTGGAAGTCTCTTCTCTTTCTGTTCATTCAGCGAAGAGTATATAGAGGAAAGAATCCGACTGTGCATGTGTTTGAAGTGCTCGGTGCCCCATCTTCCTCCTGTAACCACTGGAGAATGACACATTAAGAAACTTATATATTATAGTGAGTACAGAAACATAATGAAACATACTACAGTATGTCCATTCATGTTCCCTCAGAACCCCTCAGGACCCTCACCGAAAGCTTCCTCGGGGTTCCTTGGGACCACAGCTCCACCTCGCAACAAACACTGATCGTCCTGCCGTGTTCCAACGACTTGCGGAACATGTGCATGCAAGTGACAATAGCCTCTCGAATCAGAGTCTCATCCTGCAAGGGGACATGATGCTGCCCGCTGCCCTACATCCGTTTTCAGCAAGTGAAACTGTTCGTGTTGACTGGGTGAACTCGAAAGGATTTATATTATACTGTATATATTTTAGTTTTTTAAGCCGCGCCCGCCCTGACTTAATAAGTAAACACATACTGAATTAAGTAGTCATGGTTTTCGAAAGCTGGAGACCATAGCGATGAAACTGGGGTTGGATGTTCCACAATGCGGTAAACAACACAACGTTGCTCCACGTCTGGGGTGCTCCAAGTGAATCCGAGTCACAACATTTCCTTCACCAGTCCTCTCTTGAATTTTGCGAAGGACTCAAACTCGTCCCCGGGTAGATTCCTTTGCTAGTAATTACAATTCTAATTTAATTCTTGTTACTACTAGTAAGGCACTTGTTACTAGTAGCGATGCACTTGTTCCTAGTAGCTTCTCTAAGAAGTGAACCCATGTAGATCCAAATGTGCGTCCTCTTCTTTGCCGGCGCAAATGTGCGTCCGTGGGCCAGCACTGCGACAGCTTAAAAGTCTAAGAGAGCAGCCATGTGTTGTCTGTTCTGCTGGTCCGTGTTGTCAGTTCGTCGGCCCGAAAAGTTGTTTCCAAGCATGTCGACATGTGTAAAGTGCCATTGTTCTCTAGGGGCCCGACCCGTCTTTCTCCTATAGGATAACCGTCCTTTGTAAAAACATCTTATGTCCACTCATACCACTCGTACGGCCATGCACGTTCCCGAGCGAAGCAGCTCCTTGTTCATGGGCTGGTGGGGATTGCCACAACGCGCATTGCGAGAGGACACGATCGACTGGCCCAGCAGGTGCTCACCCTGAAAGCACAGGGGCACAGCAAGCAAATCTTAATCAAACTTAGAATTGTTTCCGGTGCTTAGTTCCAAGACTGGCGAATCCTTAGTTTTCCGTAAGTTACTAAACTGGAAACTGAGCCGTGCTTAATCAAACTTAGTTTCCGGTGCTCAGTTTCCGAATTCCTTGGAAACTAAGGACTGGCGAATCCAGAAACTGAGCCGTCTCTGGCATTGACGCATGCTGTCATATCCCCACCTCTTTAGCTAACTAGTGCGTGAATAGTGGATCACAACTACTCCAAAGGGTCAAAGGCCAACCACTGACTGAGTAGTTCACACGAAGTATGTTAACTCCAGCTGTCAATTTTGAACAATAGGTCCTCTACACAGCTCAAAAGCATTCCATAGGTGTCACAACCATGAGGTATGTATATATATATAGAGAGAGAGAGAGAATGTGTGTGTGCTTCTCCCGTTTCATCTTTAAAACACTTGCCCATCTCAGTTGACTACTGGGAGCCTACGTTATAATTGCCATGCAACTCTCAAACTACCCAAGATATGTTACAACTTATAGTCCATGGGCAAACTGTTAACATCCCAAACAAGCTGCAGTGATCCAGTCTTGGGCATTCTTGACATGCATGGCGATTGACTGCTCACTCAACCATCATGGCTTGATCACTAGCATCAATCTGAGGCATCGTCCAGCATTAGCAAAGTCAATGCAGGTTCATTGAAGGGAGAATCACTGACGACACAGGTCACAGGTCCACAAAGGCACCTTGACTGAATGTTGTTTCATCCTGGATGGTTTACAATTTGCTACTAGAACCTTTGAGCAGTGAGCAAGGTTATTTGTTTCCCACCTTTCGTAGCTAGTGCCTGCAGAGAAACTTGCTTCGCTGACTGAACCCAGCGGCAGGGCTTGGCGACAGCAAACAACGTACAATGAACCAAGGCTTACCCAAGGCTTCTAGAACCATGTAACAATGGTATTGTTCATATAAGGTTTGAGCTGGTCTGAGTACACTTCATGGCGTGAGTGACCCAAGGCTTAACCAATGGCTTCTTACCCAAGGTTATCTATATAACAATGGTTCATGTGTTTTAATAACCTTTGAGGAACCATTGCTTCGTTGCTGGAGTGACAATTGGACTGAGCTTCAGAAAAGGCCAAGGAGCTGAGCTCCGATGTGGGAGAATCATGATGGGCAGTCCAGCATCCGCCGCCACCTGACTGCTTCAGGCGTGCGCTTGGTGATAATGGAGCTAGAGCTCCCCTCGCTTTCACCAGGTGAACTACTTGTCTCCACTCACTTGCCCTATATTCAAACACTTGGGAGAGCGTTGTTGCATTCAGAAACACACCCATACCAAAGCGCAGTGAAAGAGCACTGATACATCTGAAGTAGTATGGCCCTGCTTCATTTACTGTAGGCCATACTACTGATGCACGTTCACCTATCACCTGCGGGATCCTGGAAGCAGCCGTGCTGGTCGAGGGACAAATCTGGGACCTCCACCATGCTTGAACGATCACGTGCCATGTAAGCAAACCATTTGGGATTGAAAAGGTCGCAATGTCACTGCAACCCCAAAGCACGCCAACCAACCTTGGAGGTGATTGAGAAACCTGGACCAAGCTTCTTCATACAAAACATCCTGCGAACTCTCCACTAGAGCGGAGAAATAGTGGAAAGCTCAGCCATCCCAGCTAGCATAGATGGCCTGCCTTGATCTCCCAAATGCACCAAAGCCGGCTGTACAAGCCCTGGCCATTGGATCTCAGCTCTTCATTCGGCACCTCATTCCCGCCGGAGCGGAACATCTCCAGCGTTATGAAGGGCTTCCTGACCACCCCAATGGACTGCACTTCTGACCATGAACAGTCTACACGGGGATGTTCACGTAGCTCTGTGACACACGGAATCGGTGACCAAAAACCAGGGACACTAAAGAAGGTCGCCGAACCTCAAAGCTTCAAACAACCACATGTTCAAGTCCATCGTTGAGCAAGCCTAGCTGGGGCCTAGCAATCCTTTCGTTACCACTGGTCACTGGTCATGCAACATAGCCAGCTGAGCCAAACATGTTCTGACATGATAAAATCTCCATTTTGATTGTAAAGCCTGTTCATATGGGAGGTTATTTTATGAATCAAGATTCTAGGGTGAGCATTTCTCACAGGTCCATGAGTCATGGATCAAATCGCTGAGTTGGACCACTGAAACATGTTGGGGCGACCCTCGATCGCCGATGATCGCAGAATGAGACGATCCGAGGCTGAGTCGACTCAAACTTTTTGCTGCTGGGTCTCCATACGACTCAAACGATCCCCCCTACTCATTGTATACACTCCGAGTCCACATGGAAGTGGATACCCTTGTTCCCTGCATGGATTGGAAGAGTGCCTATGAGTACTAAGGAACCACCCGAGACTCGTGTCGACCGTTCCAGCTGGAACCACTCCGGCAAAAAAGTCACGTGGATCGCCCGATGTGTCCAACTTCGCCCAAGGTGCCACCAGCAAGCGCTGACATGCCGCGCTATTGATGACTTGCGTGAAGGGGCTGCGCCTCGTGGCGCAGTTTGTCCGAGGCGGGAGGAAAATGCAGAACACTCAGGCATGACAAAAGCGTGTTCCAAGGTATGTACCGTTTTTGGTGGAATACCTGACAGTAGAAACAGGGGCACATAGAGCCATCCAAATTTGGAAAGGTGGCAAAACAAATCGTCAAGAACAATGGTCTCTCACTCTGTCGTTGACTTTTCAGGTGCGCAACATAGTAACAATCCAATCCGATTATTTAGCTAGCAAATCCGGATTGTACGATTTCACCATCTTTCACCGAGCTCGGCCTCCAAGTTGATGGTATGATGGTAAAATACTTGCTGGATTCAACATGTCGTTCATTTCACCCGGCACAGGCGTCTTCGCGGATAGTCCGAGGCTTGTTGGAACCTAGGAGGTCAAACCATTAATTGGTGATCTGCTGATCTGCTTGAGGGTGCTGGTAAACATAAATCTCTTCATCTCTCTCTCTCTCTTTATTGGCCTCAAATGGAACAATCGGCCGGCTATTCTAATTTAGTCTACTTGGTGCCAAACCGATCACGGGTCACTCCTGGAAGTTCCAGGTAAACTGTCCAACATATTCATCCTTGTCTTCATAGGGCACTTGAGAGGAGGGAGACACGAAAGGTAGGACAGCGGGAAGAGAAGAGAACGCGAGAGGCAGGAACAAAAATGCAATGTTCGACATGGTGATTTATCCCCTCGGAGGCGACCTTTCGTAAATATAACTTCATATAACTTCATATGCACTCTAAATGTTCAAACATATGCTCTCGAAATGTTCAACAACATTCTTAGTAAAACAAACTTGCCCCATGGCTCAAATCATCGTTGAGCATTGAATCGGAGCATCATAGGATTTGAACTATCCTGAAACCATAAGAGGCTCACGAAGACGTTCAGGAGAGAATTGACGTGCTTCACAAAACAAACTCGAGGTATGTACCCCCTCGGGGAACACCTTTCGTGATTAGAATTTCATATGCACTCTTTCTGAATGTTCAAGAGGGTTTCAACTATCCTGAAATCATGAGAGGCTCACGAAGACGTTCTCCAGGAGAGAATTGAATTTAGAG